TTGTGTCGCATTTCACCAATAAGGAGAACAAGATATCAAGAAGACACCCATCTTCGCTCAAAGTATGATTGCGGCAAAGGTTAGCACATTTTCCCTACCTCTAGAACTCGTTACAAACACACGCAAAGGCAAGTCATCAGAAAAAAAAGAGCTTATGGTACAAACAAGGAACAGGGTACTTCATTTGCTACTTCTGTGTTAGTCAGAAAACAGTCAATTTACACTGCATAGATGGCTTTCATCTTTAATAGCCCCATACAAATGCAACAACAACAACAACAAAACAACAGCAGCAGCAACAACACACACAGGGAAAAAAATGCCATAAAAAGGCTACACAGCGTGCAAGTTGAATATTCGATCTATTAACAGTTGTCTAATGTGGGAGATAATAAAAAATAGAGGTATGTTCTTGAAAAAGCCACAAACATATCCGGGGCATGTTTCGATCCATACCTACAGGATCATTCCACGTTCTACAAAGCAAAGCAAAGTCTCTGAAAGTAGAACATTTTGATAGAAATAGATAATAGATTCATTAATAACAAAATGATTAAAGCGATGCTACTTTGTATAATCAGAGAAAATTGGGTCCAGCTACATATGGTGGAAGTTTTGAATCATACAGAAGACAGACGGGCGGACGGACAATTCATTCAGTAAAAGGCCCCTGCCCCCAAGATAGCAATACATGGCCGGAATGTATACCACAGACAATATACATATTTACAACTGTATATATTAATTTTACATTTATAAACCATCACCACTCCTTAATAGATACTTTTATAAGTTCCTCAGAACAGATATTATGTTGAAAAGAATAGGTATAATGCTAAAAGTCAACAAGACATATGGTCAAAATTTATCAGAAATGGATGCTATACCATAATCTTTGTAAATGAACATTGTACTTTGATTGCTTTTTTGTGTGTGGGTGTGAGTGAATGAGTTGTCTTTGTCCCTTGTTATGAATACTTGTACACTCTTCAAAAAAAGAGACGGTGATTTTGATAATATTGGAATCATGTAGCTGCAGCAAAAACAATACAAATATACTATTTCTTTCCAAAACGTCATCTTTGTGCGATTGTAAACGGCTTCAGCGCCAAAACGCAGCAATTCTAACTTTTCCCCTTGTTTTAGAAGCGTTTGAAGACATATTCGCCAAAACGTCCCCAAGAAAACATGCAAAGCAAAATGCATGTGCAAGTAAGCGGAAAAGAATGCGGTATCGATCATTGTAAAAAGGCAAACGTTGTGTTTAATTTTGTCATTTGTTTGTGTCTGGAAAAGAGGAAATCATCATGCCACGACTGGGTGCCGCCAATCGAAACATCGCCATAGGCCGCCTTGAAGCTGGGGAGTCGCAGTCTGCAGTTGCCCGACATTTTAACGTTCATTAGAACACCTTATCTCGCCTTTGGATCGTTTCCTGCAGACCGCCCAAGATCGCCCGAGAAGCGGCCGTCCAAGAGTTACCATCCAAGCCCAGGACCACTACATACAGGTTGCTCACTTGAGTCCCCGTCTTGCCACAGCCGTGGAAACTGCTCAAAGCATCCCTGGTTTGAGAAGAATTTCCGACCAAACTGTCAGGAATCGATTGCGTGAAGTGGAGATTCGACCAAGAAGGCCAGTTGTCGCCTCTATTTTGAGAGACTTTCATCGGCGCAATCGATTGCGGTGGTGTCGTAGAGTCCGGAACTGGAAAATTAGAAACTAGAGGCGAGCCTGGTTCAACGATGAATCACGATTTCTTCTTCACCGGCGAGATGGAAGAAATTAACGTTTTGCCCCTAATTGCATTCGACAGGTCGTCAGTTTCGGTGGACAGTGTCATAGTGTGGGTCGATTATCCAGCACACAAAGATCTGATTTAGTGGTGGTTCTGGGGAATTTGACAGAAAATCGGTACATCAACGAAGTCCTTGCACGTCACATGTTTCCGATTATGGACCGACAGAGGGCGTTGTTCTAGCACGACATCACATACAGCACGCGTCACGGTCCGCTACCTTGCCAATTCTAACGCCAATGTTTTGCCATGGCCTTCTCGATCATCAGATCTAAACCCAATAGAACACCCGTTGGATGAGCTCGATCGACGAATATGTCAACGTCAAAACACGCCTCAGACACTTTCACAGCTGGCCATCGCATTGCAGGAAGAGTGGCGAAGAATTCCGCAAGAGTGACTTCGTCGACTTATCCACCCGCAGACTGTGCCGAGACGGTGCCGAGCAGTAATAACTACCAATGGTGGCCATACAAAGTATTGACTTTGACGCCATCTTGTTGGACTCAAGTAAACAGAAACACAACAATAAAGGCTACTGTTGTATTTGCGGACTCTTTGTCTATAGACGTGTGAATTTTCATTTTCTTACAATTGAAATTACATGAAATAATTGCTCTTAAACTAACGCAATAAACTCTTCTAAATATGGTTTATGCGTTTCTTTTTTGAAAGTGTATTTAACTCAGGACTTCAGATGATGAAAATAGGATCACTGATGAACAATAAGCAGACTTTTTACCGGACTTCTCAACTATTGACAATATAGTTTTCTTTCAGGCAGTGATACAGAAATGTGCGAGTAAAGGTGAGATTCTACTGTCATTTTGTGGATTTCTGAAAAACATTTTACACTATTAGATATGATATTTAAAACAGTTTCATACGCCGTGGACCACGTCGGCTGAACTTGGGCAGGCACTGCAAGAAGAGCTGGACAGCACAGTTCGTCATTGGGATAGTCACACGCAGTGTGCTTCATCCATTAAATGAATGTTTGACAAATCGTATCGGTAATACGCATAAATGATACAAACTGGCCAACTTTGAAACTTCCTGTCTTAACCATGTAGTCCCTCAAGTACGTTGTGGGCGATTGGGTAGCCTAATGGTTAAAGCGTTCATGACGAAGGCCCGCGTTCGATTCCCCACATGGGTACAATGCGTGAGGCCTATTTCTGGTGTCCCCGCCGTGATATAAGATAAACTTAGTCACACTAGAACGCTGATTGTTATATCATTAAACCTCACACTTGTTTTATCGTGTTCCCAATTGTGTCAGTAAGATAAATCTGGGGCTAGAACCTAATATCGCTTAAATTTGTGGAACATAATTTATTTTCGAGTATCCCTACACTTCTCAGAGGGATACACAAAGTCCACAGTCTAGACCACCTGTCGTCCGACTTCCATTTTGGTGGAAGTCGCGGTGGCTGAGCGGGTTAGGCGGCTGACGTTGTGTGCTGGCGGTTCGGTGCCTGACTCTGGGGGGTGTGGATTCGAATCCCGGATGGTGGTCTAGAAGCCAGACCCTAAAATGGTGAAAATGTGGTGCAGTTCTGGCGACCAAACGGGATGTGCTTTTTCACAATCAGGAATGATTTAGCTTTGATTTGAAGCCGGTTGTCATCAGCTACCGTGCGTGACTACCGTGCAGGGGCCCTTTTAAGGTGCAACATGTCATGTCAGTAATGGCAATATTTTTACCGATAACTGGATGGTTTAATTTAATAACTCTGGTTTGGTTTGACCGATTTTCATAAAAAATATATTTTGGGAATGCTCAGACCATGATTTAAAATTGTGGACAATAATATTACATATATGCTCATCGCAAAAAGTATTTTGGTAAGGTTAAAGGTCAATTTTAATAGAAAGGGCATTTGATGAGAAAATATGAGTTGAACTTTACAAATTAAAGGTAATTTTTCCAAAATTATGTTTTTCTGATTCAGCTATAACATTTGAAGATCATATATACCGTTGGTTGGCATTGTATTCATGAAAAACCATTACAAGGAAACAAAGGTTGGTACTTTGTATTTAGATCAGCAATATATTACACAATGTCTGTTCAACAGTAACAGCACCATGTTTTACATAGTCAACGATACTAAATATGTCAAAGATACTGTTGGACTATCATTAAAATCACACAACATAACAGAAAGCTCTCAAATGTATAATTCAATTATTCAAGATGTCTTTATATTTTGATGATTAGGGGAAAAATACCAGCGCCTTGAGCATGCACTAGTTGCCTGGATATGTGCGCTATATAAATATCTTATATATATATATACACAATTTAGGAAAAAATACATCGCCTTGACTAGCATTATCTGGATATGTGCTATATAAATATCTTATATATATAAGATATTTATATAGCGCACATATCCACTCAGTGCATGCTCAAGGCGCTAGGTATTTTTCGCTAATCATCGGATGTCAATCCTCATAAAAAGGACATCGTATTATCAATCTCAACTCCCTGGGGAGTTTTCAACTCTTGCAGCCACTAGGCGCACCGAGTTATTGTGGCTTTCTCATCCTAACGAGGTACCCATTCACAGCTGGGTGGACTGGGACACATAGTCACAGTACTTTGTCCAAGCTCACTGCACGTTGCTGTACCCGCAATTAGGTGTTTGCACGTATTCATGTGGCCAACATCTGGTCATATACCAACGGATTCGTGGGTTCTTTTAAGTGCAGTGGGTTGTGTACTGTGCACTAGGGGTTGTGACAACACTGAAAGAGTCTGCACACAAAGTTGACTCTAAAGTTTTTACACCCGGTCACAGGTGGGCTCGATCCCGACACGGGGTGGTTGGGTAGCCCAGTGGTTAAAGCGTTGGCTCGTCACGCCGAAGACCCGGGTTCGAATCCCCACATGGGTACAATTTGTGAAGCCCATTTCTGGTGTCCCCCGCCGTGATGTTGCTGGAATATTGCTAAAAGCGGCGTAAATCCAAATTCAGTCAGTCAGTCAGTCGATCCCGACACCTCAACCTCGCTGGATCACGAGCCTGGCGCCTTAGCCAGCTCGCCCACCGCGCCCACATTTAGTAAGGCTAACCTGAAATATTACCTTGTATGCAGATGCCAATAACGACATGTTACGATTTCAGGGGTTTATCACCTTCTCTGACCATACTGCAGTGAGCGAAACTAAATCAATAACATACATGAAGCCGCCAGCAAATGCGCGCACATGTTCCTGTATTCCTTGTGGAGACCCTGGTCAACTTGTATAGAATATTGTATGACACTGAGTTCTGAAACTGTAGAAAGCCGGATGCCAAAAGAGGAGGGGTTGGTACCCCATGTTTATTAATATCCCTCGGCTTTCTCCCATATTGTATGCAGCGTACAGGATCAGTCTGCAGCAATCTGCGTGGGGCGTACACTATCATCCCTGTTCTCCTCAACTTGGGGGTAAGTTCGTTCATTGCTGGTTGATACATGTTGAGTTACTTCCAAAAACAGTCATGTTTAGCAAACACTTTGAAACCTTATTTGAAACGAGATGACATAGCTGCAGCGAAGTATAGCTGTGTAAACTAAGCCGGTTCATGTGGTTTATTATTCAGGAGTTCGCTGGCCATTATTATAATGGGGTTTGTTATTCAATGTTCAGTGATTATTATTCAATGCCAGGTGTCTACTGGCAATGTCTTCAATGTCTGGTTCATTATTCAGGGTGTGGGGGTATTAGTTGAGGGTCAAGGGGTGTACTCTTCAATGTCTGGTTCATTATTCAGGGTGTGGGGGTATTAGTTGAGGGTCAGGGATGTACTCTTCAATGTCTGGTTTATTACTCAGGGTGTGGGGGTATTAGTTGAGGGTCAGGGGTGTACTCTTCAATGTCTGGTTCATTATTCAGGGTGTGGGGGTATTAGTTGAGGGTCAAGGGGTGTACTCTTCAATGTCTGGTTCATTATTCAGGGTGTGTGGGGTATTAGTTGAGGGTCAGGGTGTACTCTTCAATGTCTGGTTCATTATTCATTAGTTGAGGGTCAAGGGTGTACTCTTCAATGTCTGGTTCATTATTCAGGGTGTGGGGGTATTAGTTGAGGGTCAAGGGGTGTACTCTTCAATGTGTGATTTATTACTCATGGTGAGGAGGTATTAGTTGAGGGTCAAGGGGTGTACTCTTCAATGTCTGGTTGATTACTCAGGGTGTAGGGAAGTATTAGTTGAGGGTCAAGGGGTGTACTCTTCAATGTCTGGTTCATTACACAGGGTGTAGGGAAGTATTAGTTGAGGGTCAAGGGATGTACTCTTCAATGTCTGGTTCATTACTCAGGGTGTAGGGAAGTATTAGTTGAGGGTCAAGGGGTGTACTCTTCAATGTCTGGTTGATTACTCAGGGTGTAGGGAAGTATTAGTTGAGGGTCAAGGGGTGTACTCTTCAATGTCTGGTTCATTATTCAGGGTGTGGGGGTATTAGTTGAAGGTCAAGGGATGTACTCTTCAATGTCTGGTTCATTACTCAGGGTGTAGGGAAGTATTAGTTGAGGGTCAAGGGGTGTACTCTTCAATGTCTGGTTGATTACTCAGGGTGTAGGGAAGTATTAGTTGAGGGTCAAGGGATGTACTCTTCAATGTCTGGTTCATTATTCAGGGTGTAGGGAAGTATTAGTTGAGGGTCAAGGGGTGTACTCTTCAATGTCTGGTTCATTACACAGGGCGTAGGGAAGTATTAGTTGAGGGTCAAGGGGTGTACTCTTCAATGTCTGGTTCATTATTCAGGGTGTGGGGGTATTAGTTGAGGGTCAAGGGATGTACTCTTCAATGTCTGGTTCATTACTCAGGGTGTAGGGAAGTATTAGTTGAGGGTCAAGGGGTGTACTCTTCAATGTCTGGTTTATTACTCAGGGTGTAGGGAAGTATTAGTTGAGGGTCAAGGGGTGTACTCTTCAATGTCTGGTTCATTACACAGGGTGTAGGGAAGTATTAGTTGAGGGTCAGGGGTGTACTCTTCAATGTCTGGTTCATTACTCAGGGTGTAGGGAAGTATTAGTTGAGGGTCAAGGAATGTACTCTTCAATGTCTGGTTCATTTACTCAGGGTGTAGGGAAGTATTAGTTGAGGGTCAAGGGGTGTACTCTTCAATGCCTGGTTCATTTACTCAGGGTGTAGGGAAGTATTAGTTGAGGGTCAAGGAATGTACTCTTCAATGTCTGGTTCATTACTCAGGGTGTGGGGAAGTATTAGTTGAGGGTCAAGGAATGTACTCTTCAATGTCTGGTTCATTATTCAGGGTGTAGGGAAGTATTAGTTGAGGGTCAAGGGTGTACTCTTCAATGTCTGGTTCATTACTCAGGGTGTAGGGAAGTATTAGTTGAGGGTCAAGGTGTACTCTTCAATGTCTGGTTCATTACTCAGGGTGTGGGGAAGTATTAGTTGAGGGTCAAGGGTGTACTCTTCAATGTCTGGTTCATTATTCAGGGTGTGGGGGTATTAGTTGAGGGTCAGGGGTGTACTCTTCAATGTCTGGTTCATTATTCAGGGTGTGGGGGTATTAGTTGAGGGTCAAGGGGTGTACTCTTCAATGTCTGGTTCATTATTCAGGGTGTGGGGGTATTAGTTGAGGGTCAAGGGGTGTACTCTTCAATGTGTGATTTATTACTCATGGTGAGGAGGTATTAGTTGAGGGTCAAGGGGTGTACTCTTCAATGTCTGGTTGATTACTCAGGGTGTAGGGAAGTATTAGTTGAGGGTCAAGGGGTGTACTCTTCAATGTCTGGTTCATTACACAGGGTGTAGGGAAGTATTAGTTGAGGGTCAAGGGATGTACTCTTCAATGTCTGGTTCATTACTCAGGGTGTAGGGAAGTATTAGTTGAGGGTCAAGGGGTGTACTCTTCAATGTCTGGTTGATTACTCAGGGTGTAGGGAAGTATTAGTTGAGGGTCAAGGGGTGTACTCTTCAATGTCTGGTTCATTATTCAGGGTGTGGGGGTATTAGTTGAGGGTCAAGGGATGTACTCTTCAATGTCTGGTTCATTACTCAGGGTGTAGGGAAGTATTAGTTGAGGGTCAAGGGGTGTACTCTTCAATGTCTGGTTCATTACTCAGGGTGTAGGGAAGTATTAGTTGAGGGTCAAGGGATGTACTCTTCAATGTCTGGTTCATTACTCAGGGTGTAGGGAAGTATTAGTTGAGGGTCAAGGGGTGTACTCTTCAATGTCTGGTTCATTACACAGGGCGTAGGGAAGTAGTTGAGGGTCAAAGGGTGTACTCTTCAATGTCTGGGTCAAGGGGTGTACTCTTCAATGTCTGGTTCATTATTCAGGGTGTGGGGGTATTAGTTGAGGGTCAAGGGATGTACTCTTCAATGTCTGGTTCATTACTCAGGGTGTAGGGAAGTATTAGTTGAGGGTCAAGGGGTGTACTCTTCAATGTCTGGTTTATTACTCAGGGTGTAGGGAAGTATTAGTTGAGGGTCAAGGGGTGTACTCTTCAATGTCTGGTTCATTACACAGGGTGTAGGGAAGTATTAGTTGAGGGTCAGGGGTGTACTCTTCAATGTCTGGTTCATTACTCAGGGTGTAGGGAAGTATTAGTTGAGGGTCAAGGGGTGTACTCTTCAATGTCTGGTTCATTACTCAGGGTGTAGGGAAGTATTAGTTGAGGGTCAAGGGGTGTACTCTTCAATGTCTGGTTCATTACTCAGGGTGTAGGGAAGTATTAGTTGAGGGTCAAGGAATGTACTCTTCAATGTCTGGTTCATTACTCAGGGTGTGGGGAAGTATTAGTTGAGGGTCAAGGAATGTACTCTTCAATGTCTGGTTCATTATTCAGGGTGTGGGGGTATTAGTTGAGGGTCAGGGGTGTACTCTTCAATGTCTGGTTCATTATTCAGGGTGTGGGGGTATTAGTTGAGGGTCAAGGGGTGTACTCTTCAATGTCTGGTTCATTATTCAGGGTGTGGGGGTATTAGTTGAGGGTCAGGGGTGTACTCTTCAATGTCTGGTTCATTATTCAGGGTGTGGGGGTATTAGTTGAGGGTCAAGGGTGTACTCTTCAATGTCTGGTTCATTATTCAGGGTGTGGGGGTATTAGTTGAGGGTCAAGGGGTGTACTCTTCAATGTGTGATTTATTACTCATGGTGAGGAGGTATTAGTTGAGGGTCAAGGGGTGTACTCTTCAATGTCTGGTTGATTACTCAGGGTGTAGGGAAGTATTAGTTGAGGGTCAAGGGTGTACTCTTCAATGTCTGGTTCATTACACAGGGTGTGTGGGAAGTATTAGTTGAGGGTCAAGGGATGTACTCTTCAATGTCTGGTTCATTACTCAGGGTGTGGGAAGTATTAGTTGAGGGTCAAAGGGTGTACTCTTCAATGTCTGGTTGATTACTCAGGGTGTAGGGAAGTATTAGTTGAGGGTCAAAGGGTGTACTCTTCAATGTCTGGTTCATTATTCAGGGTGTGGGGGTATTAGTTGAGGGTCAAGGGATGTACTCTTCAATGTCTGGTTCATTACTCAGGGTGTAGGGAAGTATTAGTTGAGGGTCAAGGGGTGTACTCTTCAATGTCTGGTTCATTACTCAGGGTGTAGGGAAGTATTAGTTGAGGGTCAAGGGATGTACTCTTCAATGTCTGGTTCATTTACTCAGGGTGTAGGGAAGTATTAGTTGAGGGTCAAGGGGTGTACTCTTCAATGTCTGGTTCATTACTCAGGGCGTAGGGAAGTATTAGTTGAGGGTCAAGGGGTGTACTCTTCAATGTCTGGTTCATTATTCAGGGTGTGGGGGTATTAGTTGAGGGTCAAGGGATGTACTCTTCAATGTCTGGTTCATTACTCAGGGTGTAGGGAAGTATTAGTTGAGGGTCAAGGGGTGTACTCTTCAATGTCTGGTTTATTACTCAGGGTGTAGGGAAGTATTAGTTGAGGGTCAAGGGGTGTACTCTTCAATGTCTGGTTCATTACACAGGGTGTCCAGGGTGGGAAGTATTAGTTGAGGGTCAAAGGGTGTACTCTTCAATGTCTGGTTCATTACTCAGGGTGTAGGGAAGTATTAGTTGAGGGTCAAGGGTGTACTCTTCAATGTCTGGTTCATTACTCAGGGTGTAGGGAAGTATTAGTTGAGGGTCAAGGGTGTACTCTTCAATGTCTGGTTCATTACTCAGGGTGTAGGGAAGTATTAGTTGAGGTCAAGGGGTGTACTCTTCAATGTCTGGTTCATTACTCAGGGTGTGAGGGGGTATTAGTTGAGGGTCAAGGGGTGTACTCTTCAATGTCTGGTTCATTATTCAGGGTGTGGGGTATTAGTTGAGGGTCAAGGGTGTACTCTTCAATGTCTGGTTCATTATTCAGGGTGTGGGGTATTAGTTGAGGGTCAAGGGGTGTACTCTTCAATGTCTGGTTCATTATTCAGGGTGTGGGGGTATTAGTTGAGGGTCAAGGGGTGTACTCTTCAATGTCTGGTT